GTGCTCGTTATATGAACAAAGTTTTATAAATGTGAAACATATTTCCTTTAGGAGCGACTGCTTGTGTGGAACTGCATCTTTATGAAGAAGCAATTTCTTGGTGTGACAAGGGATTAGCAGTATCCTTTTATAACATACTTTACATACACCCTTAATTAACCCAAACCTTAACCACCTCTCATTCCGGCCGGGAGTCATATGTGGGTCCCAGTTTTGTTTGTTGGTACTCATCCTTTTTTCCTCACTCAAGAAAAACCAACATTTCTAAATTCAATTTAGATCTGGAATCCGAGGGCCACAGGTTGTCAGTGGTAAGACTGTTTAAGTGTCACCATATACTGCAGATAGCACACCACTACACCAACCCTGCGGAATGGCCATTACCTTATGCATGCGCACAGCCAAATCACCCGGGCATGCAGTGGCGACCATGATGGACAGCTATTTCGGCCTTGTTAGCCCTCATCAGCATGGCATAGCCGTCGGACAACAAAGACCCGAAAGTCTTGTCTGTTGTCCTTTACTGCCGAGGCGGATGCAAAGGCACCCCTTTAAGTGACAGCTCCACACAAGACATGTGGTAGCTGTAGGCTGGGGACTGCAAAACAGTCCTCGGCATGCGTATGGAGGGGTGGATCACTATTCATGATCGAGTGTGCCATCAATCTCGTACCCAGAGTCCACGGTCTCCTCAGTCAGCGGTTGGTCGTCACCAGGTGGAACACAGGGAATGGAATTTTGAATACCAGAAATCTGGTATTCCGGTCACTTCCGCTCCCATGCTTGTTACACGAACGGCCAATCAAAAAATTTGATATTTATTCCATTCCCCCAGAGTCTAACCTGGCGACGATTACCGCTGACTGAGGAGACCGTTGACTCTTGGTATGAGATTGGTGTGCCATAAAAAAACATAGGAAACTATAAACTGCAGATAGCACACCACTACACCAACTCCGTGGTATGGCCACTTTCAGGATACAAATAAAGATATAATTTCAACAATTCCTATTGTAGAAATGTCCTTACAGTACGCTCAGAGACTTATGATGTTCATTTGACGACTGTGTTATTTATTTTGTGTTTCATAACCCCCCCTCCCACGATGATAAGCCCCCCTCCCCGCCGCGATGATAAGCCCCCTCCCCTCCGTGATGATAAGCCCCCCTCCCACGATGATAAGCCCCTCCCACGATGATAAGCTTCCCTCCCACGATAATAATTAAGCCCCCTTCCACGATGATAAGCCCCCTCCCACGATGATAAGCCCCCCTCCCACGATAATAAGCCCCCTTTCCACGATGATAAGCCCCCCTCCCACGATAATAAGCCCCCCTCCCACGATGATAAGCCCCCTCCCACGATAATAAGCCCCCCCCCCCCCCTCCCATGATGATAAGCCCATTAAAATGCCTTTTGAACAAATAAAAGCCAGGGCTTATTACGGTACGTCACTAAGACTCTTTATATCCATAAAAGGAATTTGTTTATATATACCCCATGCACACGTCTTTAGTCAGCAGTACAGGTTATCAACTTAATAGGAGTGTTACAAAAATTAATGATATGTTACATAACTTTACCATAACATACAAGATTAAGAGCAATAACAAGATATTGTTGGATTTACGGAGCAAGTCTGTGGACAAAGGAAACCGACCGCAAATGACGAGTAAGGCTGAGAATGAACCTGCGAAAGTTCAAGTAAGTCTTGAGAGAAGATCATGGCTTGTTAAAAGCAACTACCCGTGTGTATGTGTATGTGTGTGGACCTCTTAGAGGTAAAAATGAATTCGAGCCACACCCACAAAACGAGATTCCAGTACCCAGTTTAAGGGGTCTCTCTTAAAATTTCCGACGATCACTCCCGTCACTTTTATATATGTGGGAATAACCCCCCCTCCCCTCTCCCCTACTTGGGATAAAAACGGGGCTCACAATCCAGATCACGGAAAATGCAGGATTCGTTCATTAACTGCCATTTCAGCAACAAAAGAGGAACATCTTGGCAAAGAAAAACTGAATAACAACACCATCTAAAACAAAATAATAAATGTTGGTTGCTTAACCCCAAAATTCGGAATTGATAATATTGATTGTAGTACTAACCAGAAACTTCTGGGCCGGGTTGTTCAAAGGACGATTAAGCTAATCCAGGATTAGCGCAAATTTTGATTTCAGTTTTGTAACTTTTCAGTGAGGTTTTCTGTTTATATTTTTCATCTTTCTGTTTTGACTTTGACTAATCTTAAAGTTTACAAAACATTAGCAAAGAAAAACACTTTTATACAAGAGAAATTAAAAGCTTGATTAACTTTTAATCCTGGATTAGCATTAATCGGCTTTCGAACAACCGAGCCCTGCCTTACCAGATTATGATAGTAAACATTTAAGAGTGTTTTAAAGTAATAAAAAGACCTAAGCACAACTAATGTTTCTCATTAACATAAAAGTGCCGGCAACGCCGATCTACACAAAAGTGCGGGAGATGAAACTGGAAACATGTGTTTGTTTCGAGTTCTGATTGGTTCCTTGTGTTGTTTTCGTCTGTTGTGTTTGGCCAGAGTAATTACTATGATGTTGGTTTTACTACACTCAATTGAAAGCTCTTGCTAATTGGCTGACAATGGGGGAAGATTGTAGATAACAACTAATTATTTTACGTTTTTCAGATATCAAGCTATGCAGCGGCAGTGAAGTCTTCTAGTTCCATTCCCAAAGTCATTCCAAAAATTAAAGTGGAAGATTGTTCACCACATGAAACCAACAAGGTGACTTCCCCCTGCCGTAAAACGTAAGACCGAATGAAAACAGATCTGACTGGGATCATTTCATGAAATAAATATAAACCTTTTCGGCATGGAATTAACAATTTCAGAGCATTTCAAACAAACAAATAACTAACGTCAGACTATAGTGTTGCCAGTAAGAGCGGTTTAGTGTCGAGAAAGGAGTTCGGTTTTCCTTTACTGCGCTCTCTGATTGGTTCGATAAACTAGCGCCACTTTCTTAACCAATCAGATGCCAAACTAGAACCAAATTAAACGTGGCTTGGTCACATGCGTTCAATTTCCTGCGCTTGGCGCCAGTTACATGTGTTTGTTTCGAGTTCTTATTGGTTCCTTGTGTTGTTTTTCGTCTTTTGTGATTGGCCAGAGTAATTACTACGACACTCAATTGAAAACCACTCTAGCTGACAATGGGGAAGATTGTAGATAACAACTAATTTATTTTACGTTTTTCAGATATCAAGCTATGCAGCGGCGGTGAAGTCTTCTAGTTCTATTCCCAAAGTCATTACCAAAATAAAAGTGGATGATTGTTCACCACATGAATCCAACAAGGTGACTTTCCTCTGCCGTAAAACTTTTAAGACCGAACCAAATAAACAATTAAACAAATGTATCTTACAGCTCAATAGGGGAATTTTTTTACTATGAACAAGTACATTACACGCTTCTTGGAAAGTTTACAAGTTTGAGGTTGAACAAAATATAACCATGAAATGACTTTGAGGAGTTTAGTTGCCGGCGATGCAAATGTACGTAAAATAAACCCGTTTTATCCTTCATTTATTATTAGGTCACATCGATCATGGCTGAAAGTGACGCCACTGCAGCTTCTGAAGCAAAACTGGATTCCGATAACGACAATTTGAGAGGTGAGAAAATAAACTACAGACAACTTAATTTGTAAGAGCACAATAATTTACAGCACACATGTTTGAATTGGATGGTCAACTGGTCTCGTGTACATCAGCCGAAAATAATGGATATTGGATCCGCCATCTTTGATTTGAAGATTTTTCAAAAATGTTTGAAAACATCCCCAAAGTGATTTGAAAATATAAAAAAAAAATGTAAGGATGTAAAAGATGTTAAAAATTTAGGCAGAAAATTCTCATTAAAACCGAAAATTACGCGGAATAAAAATTGGGTATAACACTCTGTCAAAACATTGGGCAAACAATTGACACACCAAAATGTTGCTCGATAATTTTTAGGAAAAGTCACGACGTTTCGTCTTTATTGCTAAAAATCTCTGTAAGTTACATGGCACTTCTCATCGTGCTTCATCGAAGATTTGCCAAAACGTCACTTGTTTTCCCCGAGTGAGTTCCGTTGTTTAGATTTTGGGCAATTGTCACTCTAAAAATTAGGGACACTACATGTATATAACAAATAGTTTATTAAATGATGTAAGATAATTGATGGCGTAAGGATTGATTATTATTTATTTTATGTCACTTTTCCATGGTTTTAGCAAGAGCAGAGGTGTACAATAATGAAGGCGATGATGAATACAGAAGGAAGGAATTCAGCAACGCTGTATACTCCTACACGGAAGGACTTAAAGTGAACTGCAAGGATTATGAACTAAATGCCAAACTGTACAGCAACAGGGCATCAGCTTATTTCTGTTTGGGTAATAATTTGGTTTATTTACATTCAATTTATAGCAAGCAATTAAATCTTCAGTTATTTCTGGTTCATGTACTAGTACAGTAGCTAAACAGTACTAGATGTGATAGTCGAAAAACAAACATACAGATAAAAGTAATTATTATTAAATATTAAAGTAATCCTCCATGGCTGGAACAAGTTACCATTAAATTGCATAACAATTTTAATTATCTTTAGGGAATTACCAAGAAACATTGAATGATGCCAAAGCTGCCGTCAAGTTGGAACCAACTTTCATTAAAGCCATAGAAAAAGGTAACTAAAGGCTCATGGCAGCCATCTTTGCCTGCATGAAATTATTTCGTTCAGTTTCGCTTCAATTCAGTAGTGTAATCTTTACCGATTCTTCTGAGGTATCTTATAAATAGGTTTGAAAGTTTTTTCAAAATAACCGCCGAAGGATAAAGGTAACGGAGAACCGATTAAACTACATGTATTATAATTGAAACATATCAAATCAGGCTTTGCATAACATAAAAGCAACTGGCAACGTTGTTTCAAGGGAACAACGATTACCAGATTACCTGTACTGTGGTTGCCTCGGAAGCTCAGTGGTTAGAGCACCTGCCATGAGATTGGGGCACATGTCGTGGGTTCGAATCCCGCGCGGGACATCTGATTTTTTCCAACATTTGTTTCTGTTTATCCCACAAAGGCATATCAGAGTTTATACCTCACTGATGATGAACAAAATTCCAAAAGTTATTCAGTCTTTTCTAATTAAACAATTTAACGTTTTATGCTAAAAATGGTTTGCATTCGAAAACCATTCGCAAGGTCTATCCAATGTGTGATTTTTTTATACATAAATCTTACAAAATGTTACGTGACGTCATACCCGTGTCTAAAACGGTTACGCAGCCAATCAGGGAGCTCGTTATATGAACAAAGTTTTATAAATGTCAAACATATTTCCTTTAGGAGCGACTGCTTGTGTAGAGCTGCATCTTTATGAAGAAGCAATTTCTTGGTGTGACAAGGGATTAGCAGTATCCTTTTATAACATACTTTACATACACCCTTAATTAACCCAAATCTTAACCACCTCTCATTCTGGCCGGGAGTCATTCGTGGGTCCAGTTTGTTGTTGGTTCTCATCCTTTTTTCCTCACTCAAGAAAAACCAACATTTCTAAATTCAATTTCGATCTGGAATCCGAGGGCCACAGGTTTGTCAGTCATAAGACTGTTAAAGGGGCAGTGTCACAGGGATTTGATGTCATTTCAAAAACCAAAAAACGTTTTGTATTTACAGAAAACTAAAAATAATGGTTCAAATTTTGTTATAAATTACCATCCTAGTGTACTAAAACTGTCAATAAGTGTCTCTGGCCATAGAAACTGGGTCAGAATGGATCGCAATTTGAAAACATGTTAGGCTAACAGTTTTTCAATTTCTCGCATTTTCGTTTCCAAAATGCATTAGAATATGGTGTGTACATGGTGTTCTAGAATTATTTTGTAAATAAAAAAGGTAACCGAAGCACAGTTTTTGACCAAAAAAGGTCAAAATCCCTGTGATACTGCCCCTTTAAGTGTCACCATATACTGCAGATAGCACACCACTACACCAACCCTGCGGAATGGCCATTACCTTACGCATGCGCACAGCCAAATCACCTGGGCAGTGGCAACCATGGACAGCTGTTTAGGCCTTGTTAGCTTGTTAGGCCTCATCAGCATGGCATAGCCGTCGGACAACAAAGACCCGAAAGTCTTGTCTGTTGTCCTTTACTGCCGAGGTGGATGCAAAGGCACCCCTTTTAAGCGACAGCTCCACACAAGACATGTGGTAGCTGTAGGCTGGGGACTGCAAAACAGTCCTCGGCATGCGTATGGAGGGGTGGATCACTATTCAATGATCGAGTGTGCCATCAATCTCGTACCCAGAGTCCACGGTCTCCTCAGTCAGGCGGTTGGTCGTCACCAGGTGGAACTCGGGGAATGGAATTTTGAATACCAGAAATCTGGTATTCTGATCACTTCCGATCCCATGCTTGTTACACGAACAGCCAATCAAAAATTTGATATTTATTCCATTCCCCCAGAGTCTAACCTGGCGACGATTACTGCTGACTGAGGAGACCGTTGACTCTTGGTACGAGATTGGTGTCCCATAAAAAAAAACATAGGAAACTATCAACTGCAGATAGCACACCACTACACAAACTCCGATCCGCGGTATTGTCACTTGCAGGATACAAATAAAGATATAATTTCAACAATTTGTATATAAGACTCCCCTATTGTAGAAATGTTGTTACAGTATGCTCAGAGACTTGTGATGTTCATTTGACGACTGTAGAACTTGTTTTGTATTTTATGTCGTTACAGTATGCTCAGAGACTTGTGATGCTCATTTGACGACTGTAGAAACTTGTTTTGTATTATACGTCGTTACACATGGTATGCTTAAAGACTTGTGATGCTCATTTGACGACTGTAAAACTTGTTTTGTATTTTATGTCCTTACACATGGTATGCTCAGAGACTTGTGATGCTCATTTTGACCGACTGTAATTATTTATTTTGTTTCATATCGTTATGTTTACAGAAATTAACCATGCAGTATTCTTGGACGCACCTACATGTAATTCCTTCCGATAATAAGCCCCCTCCCTCTGATAATAATCCCCACGATGATAAGCCCCCTTCCCCCGATAATAACTCCCCCCACAATGATAAGCCCCCGATAATTATAAGCGCACCGCTCCCACGATGATAAGCCCCCTCCCACGATGATAAGACTCCCTTCCCACGATGATAAGCCCCCTTCCACGATGATAAGCCCCCTCCCCTCCCACGATGATAAGCCCCCTCCCCTCCCACGATGATAAGCCCCCTCCCCTCCCACAATGATAAGCCCCCTCCCCTCTCACGATGATAAGCCCCCTCCCACGCTGATAAGCCCCCTCCCCTCCCACGATGATAAGCCCCCTCCCCTCTCACGATGATAAGCCCCCTCCCACGCTGATAAGCCCCCCTCCCCCTCCCATGATGATAAGCCCCCCTCCCCTCCCACGATGATAAGCCCCCTCCCCTCCCAACGATGATAAGCCCCCCTCTCATGATGATAAGCCCCCTCCCACGATGATAAGACCCCTCCCACGATGATAAGCCCCCTCTCATGATGATAAGCCCCCTCCCCTCTCATGATGATAAGCCCCCTCCCGCGATGATAAGACTTCCCTCCCCACGATGATAAGCCCCCTCCCACGATGATAAGCTTCCTCCCCTCCCACGATGATAAGCCCCCTCCCCTCCCACGATGATAAGCCCCCTCCCCTCCCACGATGATAAGCCCCCTCCCCTCCCACAATGATAAGCCCCCTCCCCTCTCACGATGATAAGCCCCCTCCCACGCTGATAAGCCCCCTCCCCTCCCACGATGATAAGCCCCCTCCCCTCTCACGATGATAAGCCCCCTCCACGCTGATAAGCCCCCTCCCCTCCCACGATGATAAGCCCCCTCCCCTCCCACGATGATAAGCCCCCTCCCCTCCCACGATGATAAGCCCCCCTCTCATGATGATAAGCCCCTCCCACGATGATAAGACCCCTCCCACGATGATAAGCCCCCTCTCATGATGATAAGCCCCCTCCCCTCTCATGATGATAAGCCCCCTCCCGCGATGATAAAGACTTCCCTCCCACGATGATAAGCCCCCTCCCACGATGATAAGCTTCCTCCCCTCCACGATGATAAGCCCATCAAAATGCCTTTTGGACAAATATAAGCCCAGGGCTTATTATTGGAATTTTTATGGTATGTCGCTAAAAAACTCTTTTTATCCATAAAAGGAAGTTGTTTATATATATCCCATGCACACGTCTTTAGCCAGCAGTACAGGTTATCAACCTAATAGGAGTGTTACAAATGTTACATAACTTAACCATAACATACAAGATCAAGAGCAATAACAAGATATTGTTGGATTTACGGAGCAAGTCTGTGGACGAGGCAAACCAACCGCAAATGATGAGTAAGGCTGAGAATGAACCTGCGAAAGTTCAAGTAAGTCTTGAGAGAAGGTCATGGCTTGTTAAAAGCAACTACCTGTGTGTATGTGTATGTGTGTGGACCTCTTAGAGGTAAAAATGAATTCGAGCCACACCCACAAAACGAGATTCCAGTACCCAGTTTAAGGGGTCTCTCTTAAAATTTCCGACGATCACTCCCGTCACTTTTATATATGTGGAAATAACCCCCCCTCCCCTCTCCCCTACTTGGGATAAAAACGGGGCTCACAATCCAGATCACGGAAAATGCAGGATTCGTTCATTAACTGCCATTCAGCAACAAAAGAGGAACCTCTTGGCAAAGAAAAACTGAATAACAACACCATCTATTAAACAGAATAATAAATGTTGGTTTAGACTGCGAGCAGTCCTCTTTCTTTTCCTCTCCTCGTTTTTTCACCTAATTTGCATAATTATACATTTCCGCTCGCGCCAAAGATCTGAGGAGAAAAGACCGACTGCTCGCAGTCTAATGTTGGTTGCTTAACCCCAAAATTCGGAATTGATAATATTGATTGTAGTACTAACCAGAAACTTCTGGGCCGGGTTGTTCAAAGGACGATTAAGCTAATCCAGGATTAGCGCGAATTTTGATTTTCAGTTTTTGTAACTTTTCAGTGAGGTTTTCTGTTTATATTTTCATCTTTCTGTTTTGACTTTGACTAATCTTAAAGTTTACAAAACATTAAGCAAAGAAAAACACTTTTATACAAGAGAAATTAAAAGCTTGATTAACTTTTAATCCTGGTTTAGCGTTAATCGGCTTTCGAACAACCGAGCCCTGGCTTACCAGATTTATGATAGTAAACATTTAAGAGTGTTTTAAAGTAATAAAAAGACCTAAGCTCAACTAATGTTTCTCGTTAACATAAAAGTGCCGGCAACGCCGATCTACACAAAAGTGCGGGAGATGAAACTGGAAACATGTGTTTGTTTCGAGTTCTGATTGGTTCCTTGTGTTGTTTTCGTCTTTTGTGATTGGCCAGAGTAATTACTACGACACTCAATTGAAATCCCGCTCTAGCTGACAATGGGGGAAGATTGTAGATAACAACTAATTTATTTTACGTTTTTCAGATATCAAGCTATGCAGCGGCGGTGAAGTCTTCTAGTTCTATTCCCAAAGTCATTACCAAAATAAAAGTGGAAGATTGTTCACCACATGAAACCAACAAGGTGACTTTCCTCTGCCGTAAAAACTTTTAAGACCGAACCAAATAAACAATTAAACAAATGTCTCTTACAGCTCAAATAGGGGAATTTTTTTACTATGAACAAGTACAACACGCTTCTTGGGAAGTTTACAAGTTTGAGGTTGAACAAAATATAACCACGAAATGACTTTGAAGAGTTTAGTTGCTGGCGATGTAAATGTACGTAAAATAAACACGCTTTATCCTACGTTTATTATTAGGTCACATCGATCATGGCTGAAAGTGACGTCACTGCAGCTTCTGAAGCAAAACTGGATTTTGATAATGACAATTTGAGAGGTGAGGAAAATTAAACTGCAGATAGCTTAATTTGTAAGAGCACAGTTATAGCACACATGATTTAATTGGATGGTCAACTGGTCTTGTGTACATGAACCGAAA